AACAAAATCATCCAATGATCCAGAGAACAAGTTAACAAAATCATCCAATGATCCAGAGAACAAGTTAACAAAATCATCCAATGATCCAGAGAACAAGTTAACAAAATCTTCCAATGATCCAGAGAACACGTTAACAAAATCATCCAATGATCCAGAGAACAAGTTAACAAAATCATCCAATGATCCAGAGAACAAGTTAACAAAATCTTCCAATGATCCAGAGAACAAGTTAACAAAATCTTCCAATGATCCAGAGAACAAATTGTATTATTTTCACCTGTATTTTGAAAGTATCAAGTTCACCTGTAACAAAAAATATTGAAATCTTTGAGTTAATGTTATCATTTATTTATTAATTATTAGAGATCCCGCATTTCTTTCCTTTGTCACCACAAGTAAAATGGAAAAAGAATGTGTGATGAAGAGGCCTAATGCTTTCTCTGATTGGCCGCAAGACCTCTGCTATGGACTGCAGTTTCGGCTTTTCGAGACTCATCAGCACGACTTGGGCATAGTTGGTCCGATACGTAACGATGATTTAGGCACGTCATAACATTATTCACACATTTTATTGGCGATTGAAAAATACTTAAAAACTTTTAAATCAATCACGTTAGAGAAAAGTTCTGTTTGTTCACAAGATCAACACATTATCAAATAACCAAGTTGTAACTTCTAATTATCATACAAACTATTTCCATACATAGAATCAGACCACATTCACAGTTGCATTATAATCCTATGATATCACAAAATGTTACTAATAAATCCAAATATTTTAATTATTGACATTACATTAGAGTATTCCACTGCAAGTCGTTACACTAGCATACAGTATTAAAAAGTTGTCAGTGTTTTAATTTCAGTTCACTACCTTAAAAGCTTTTTTGAGGTTTTTCGGAAATCAACACCACTGGAGTCCAGTTAAGATCTCAGTGTAGTCCTAAAGTAACCTAAATAAGTGAAACAAAGTTAGAATAATAACTAAATGATTAGTTCAATCGGGTTATAATCTATCAATTTCAAAGCTTGTATCTCTGTATCCAATTGGTATGAAAATAAATACATAGATATAATACATAAATAATTATTTATAATGATACTATAGCATTGGTAAACGGGGTGACCTTTTTTAAAATGTTATTCAATCCTACCACTTATTTTAGACATCAACAATACAAAAAATACCTTCACGAGAATTCTAACATCTAAACAATGAAAAATGTAACAAGTCTGTTTTATTACAAGTTTGAATTTACGGTGAGGAAGAATATTTATAAAATGGGTTTGATATTTCAGTCACTGGTGCAATCATTCTTGTACACATATGTTTTAAACATATTCCTCCTTACAGCTGTAACCTGTAATAAATAATACTTATGATCAGTAAGCAAACACACAAAATCTGTCAAGTTTGTTTTAAGAGCTGGAAGTGTCCTAAATAGTAGTGACTTGTGTCAAGTCTAGACACATTGTTAGTGTCTGGAAAAGGTAAGGGGTGAAAATATACCATGGCATCGTTTAATTGACTTTTATATTATCGTATTAGCTTAGAAATAATCGGATATTGACTTTACTGTACCTGATGATGACAAAACCTTCTCCAAACATTATACATTTGTTATTACTGTACCTGATGATGACAAAACCTTCTCCAAACATGTACATTTGTTGTTACTGTGCCAGATGATGATAAAACCTTCTCCAAACACTGTACATTTGTTATTACTGTGCCTGATGATGACAAAACCTTCTCCAAACACTATATCTGTTATTACTGTACATCTGTTATTACTGTGCCTGATGATGATAAAACCTTCTCCAAACACTGTACATTTGTTATTACTGTGCCTGATGATGACAAAACCTTCTCCAAACACTACATCTGTTATTACTGTACATCTGTTATTACTGTACCTGATGATGCAAAACCTACTCCTAAACAATGTACATTTGTTATTACTGTGCCAGATGATGACAAAACCTTCTCCAAACATTATACATTTGTTATTACTGTGCCTGATGATGACAAAACCTTCTCCATTAAGGGAGGAATCGGAATATAACCATAAAGTCTATTCAGATAACATCATGTTGCATTGATAAATAACTGTTTAACTTCTCCATACTAGCTGCAGTAGAGTTTTCACAATGATGGTATGATACCAGTTAAAAACTAGCTGTGTGACACGTAACCAGATTTTCAGTATCTTTCACATGAAGGAAGAGACTTTTACTGTAAAAGTTTCTGGATTAATGACAAACGAAGATAAAAGAAATCAAGATACCTTTAATGAGTCTTAAGCAATTTTCAGTCATGCGACTTCATCTATTTGTGTGTGTATTCATTACTGTACCTGATGATGACAAAACCTTCTCCAAACAATGTACATTTGTTATTACTGTACCTGATGATGACAAAACCTTCTCCAAACATTATACATTTGTTATTACTGTACCTGATGATGACAAAACCTTCTCCAAACAATGTACATTTGTTGTTACTGTACCTGATGATGACAAAACCTTCTCCAAACATGTACATTTGTTGTGCTGTCATAAATTTTTCCATCACTTCATTATCTTGACATCTTCCTGTTTTCATTCACTCTTTGAGTAATCTTTGAATTGGTTTCACATTGTAGGTCTTTTATGAAGGTGACCATTTGTACATTTTACAAAAAATATTTTCTGTGTAATATTTGCTACCACCAATAATGTTTTAATATACCAGTTTATTAATGTATGTTGCTTGAATAAGAGAAACATAAAAATATTCAAATATAGATTTAGTCATCGGTATATTTTGTCACCTTCCACACTCGCAAAATAGTAAACTTCTCTGATTTAATGATGATTCAGTTTTATTTGGTGGACATGATGATGATAATAATAAATAAAAAAACAAATGTATATACAAGTACTGCAAATCAATAAATCCATGGTGAGTCTGTTCAAAAACTAAGAACCCATAATTTTGAAGGTCTGCTCCTCTACCTAGTTACTTAATGTGGACTGTGTCACCTGATTGGCTGAAGGTCTGCTCCTCTAAGGGTATTGTTATTACTTTGTAAGTGTATGTAGCTACTGTATGAAGTAGCCAGGAGGATTCTCAGGAAATGTACATTATGAAGGTAATGTTATTACTTTCTATATTTGTAAGTGTATGTAGCTACTGTATGAAGTAGCCAGGAGGTTTCTCAGGGAAACGTACATAATGAAGGTAATGTTATTACTTTATAAGTGTATGTAGCTACTGTATGAAGGACTGGCAGGTAAAGTGAGTGGTCAAGCTGATTAAACATTTTGTATCAACCATTTTTTTCACTGTTTCTCGCCACTCGTACTTCTCATTCTTCAAATAATAATTTACTTACACTAGAACAGCAAACCTTCATATAAGTAAACTGTTCATCTGAATAGCAGGTGACACAGTCCACATTAATAACTAGATCAGGGAAATGTACATTATGGAATCCTCCTGGCTACTTCATACAGTAGCTACATACACTTACAAATACAGAAAGTAGTAACATTACCTTCATAATGTACATTTCCCTGAGAATCCTCCTGGCCAGCAAGAAGTTGCTCAACTTCATCATCTGTTAGTTTTTCACCTAAAGAATTAAAGTAATCTTTAACCAAAGAAAGATTAAAAACAAGAGATAGTTAGCTACCAGTTAACCTACCAATCCATTTATCAAATATTTTCACATAAAAAGTAAATTTCAATGGGAACCTAAATGTCTTACGTTCAAATATATTGGAATTTTACCATCTGATGTTATTAGCGCCTTGCATAACTTGCTGTGGCTTGTCTACATTGTTGGTAAAAACTTAAAACTTTTCTTAGCAAACAAAACTAAAATACTTTTAGTTTCTACATATATGAAACAAGATGTCACTTGAACATCAGGTTAAAAGAACACCAAAAACCTCTTTCCAAGTCCATCAACAAAAAACAAACAGTTTTTCTGAGAAGAATATCACCATACTAAAGCATGAAGATTAACAGAAGAAAAATCAGAGAAGCCTTATTAATAAAGTCAAACAATCCCAAAATTAACAAATACCAAAAAACATCTCTTATGTGTTTAATTGTTATTCCCCACAGACGTTCCAAATTTTATACAAATATTTCGTGCAACATTTCCACATTCACACTGATTGATATGCACATCCTACAACTTAAGTAATCTGTCAATTCACACGTGACAGATTACTTAAGTTGTAGGATGTGCATATCAATCTGTGTGAATTGACAGATTACTTAAGTTGTAGGATGTGCATATCAATCATTCACACAGATTGATATGCACATCCTAAAACTTAACTACACCTTTAGATTTACAATGTTGATTTACACACTAAAATCTTCTTTACCATTATAACTTGTATACTTGAGAATGATCGAAATGTTGTACCCATTTAAAAATTTTATTCCTTACCGCAACTTTGGGTTTTTTTTTATATTAACAGATCCCGATCACAAATTAGTTTATATCCTCTCTTTAAGCTGCTAATCTACTGCCATTTCAAGAGAGTCCTCAAAAGGATTGTGTGATGTTATAATAGCCAGTGTTCAATCATAGCTCTTTTGGTGTAATATACTCTTGTCCAGTATCCCCCTCCCCCATTAGGACTTGTATCACACAGCTTTTTTAATGTGTAACACCTACAATAAGCAATGTCGACACACGACAATATTCTGTAACATCTACAATAAGCAATGTGGACACACGACAATATTCTGTAACACCTACAATAAGCAATGTGGACACACGACAATATTCTGTAACACCTACAATAAGCAATGTGGACACGACAATATTCTGTAACACCTACAATAAGCAATGTGGACACACGACAATATTCTGTAACACCTACAATAAGCAATGTGGACACACGACAATATTCTTTTATGCCAGAGGTCTTTCTGAAAACATACAGAAGATGTGTAAACAGCATAACGATCACATTTAGTACATATCAAGACCCATTGGATAGAAGAAACTCCATTTACAACATCTTTTGTGAATGTAGATTCGGATACGTTTAAGAAATAAGACCATTAACAAAAGTCCGAATTAAGAAGCATGATAGATGTCAGAACTTTACATAATAAAATGGAATAATATTAAAATAATGGAAAAGGGAAGATAAAAGAAGCCTTCTCCTAACTGATAACTGTCAACCTATCGGATACCACTTCTTGGAAAGAATATTGTTGTGTGTCCACATTGCTTATTGTAGGTGTTACTTTTATTTCATAAAGTAATTGTAAAATCCATTTTCAAGGAGAGTTCTAGCAATATGTTTTTTTTTATATTATGTTTTACAAATGATGTATATTCTGGAGACTAGTTAGTCTACGATACACTGTAGGCTGGACTGATCAATATTCTAGTTATCTACACATATCTCTGTAAACTTCTGTAATATACGAGTTACATGAATAAGAACGATGTCGGTCCAGATGATCCATCAATTGTAGAATCTCGTCTGTAATGTGTTGCCATATTTCATAAAATCAAATGGGATAGTTCACACAGTTAATTGTGATCATTCAAGTACTGTCAGACAAATACTACTATCATATCATTATATTCAAGGTTAGTTGTATTTACTCACAATGGAAACTTATTTTGGAATGGTACCAAAAACTTCATTTCAGTTTGTGATAAGCTGCTATAAGTATGATCCGTTACTTAACGTATTTGATGTCTTACCAAGTGTTGTTAAAAGATGTCTCAGCTCTGCTGAACCGATGTAGCCATTACCATCTTTATCAAAGTGACGAAGCCCTTCAATAAAATCTTCTGCAGTATCCGTACTGCGGTTTTTACTGACAGCTTGCATCATCGGAAGAAACACTTCAAAAGAAATACGCTCATCTAAAATTGGAATTAAAAAAGGAACTAATAAGTATTACTTTTTTTAACTAAAAAACATATTATAAAAAACCATTAACAACTGTACGGAAAGGATTTACAATCTATTTATATAAAATATATGGAGTCAGAGCACCGACTGCTCAAGTACAAAACGTTCGTGTTAAGATAAAAACACTTCTGATGTTGTAAAGGCCATTACCAGGATTTAGTGAGAGATAATTTGTTTGATGATTACTGTAGTTTCTAAACATCAACCGTATTTGGCAACATCTATTCATCGTTTATATACTTGACCTCTACCTATATCCAGTCACCAACTGACACCATTTACGTCACATTTAATCCTTGTGTCTTGTCTTTGTAACAATGTGTAAACCTTGTATTGTTTAGTACTAATCATACGTGAAGAAGACAGACCAATGTTATGTTGAAATATGTTGTATGTTCCACCATCAATAAAATATTTCTTTACGCTTATAAAGCATTGTTTGTCTGCTTATTATTATTATTATTACATTAGCATATTGATTCCTTACATAAATTCATTATCTAACATAATAAGTTTCTAATTTTTAAATTTTAGTTACTTTTATAAAAAATATACATGGAAAACAAAAATATATTGTACTTACCTTTGACCTCGTTCTTTTGCTGTTGGTTGCTAATTAAATTTAACACACACACAGATGGTATTAGTAGACTAAATATTTAAATAAATAATGCACTTAACACAGAATAATAACATGCACAAAACAAAGAATGTCCTATAACTATTATGATTTAAATACCTTTCTAGCTATGTTATAAGAGCCTTAAAATAATACCCTAAGCTTCTTCATCTGAACACTGCAAGAGAAATGGACAATACTCTGTACTGAAAACCACATTATATAATACATCATTTGACAGATTAAACTTAACTTTTCTATTCTTTATAAATGATATAAAATGTCTGAGAATTACTGGCAATTTTTGAAAGAGGATGCGATACCTTGGGTCTGACTATCTAGTTTATATCTTCATAAACAAATAAGATTGAAAGCTATAAAAGTATTTTCAATAGATACTTACCTCCTCCTCTTACAAAATAGCATTAGTGCTGCCCTCTATCAGTGTAATTTTTCAAAAAGGATGCGATAGCTTGGGTCTGACTATCTAGTTTATATCTTCATAAACAAACAAGATTGAAGGCTATAAAAGTATTTTCAATAGATACTTACCTCCTCCTCTTACAAAATAGCATTAGTGCTGCCCTCTATCAGTGTAATTTTTCAATGCTCACCACTTTTGTATATCCACATGCAAATGATCATGCAGCAGTTCTCCACCAATAGGAGCACAACACAACTCCTATCGTAACCAGCACCCTCTTTACATTTGCATTTGTTAATCACTTCGAGATTGGTCAGAATACCTACACCATCTATCACCAGAAGTGGGGAGGCTGGATGGTAAATGTGAGCGGAGGTAGGTACCTATCGGAAATACATTTTCGATATATGAAAATGCTAACTTCCACTACAATATCTTGTCTCTGCTCAGAAAATAGATTGAATACCACACTGAACTGGTGGAGGGCCAGTGAAAAAAAAAAAAAAAAGATCCCCCTTCAGGAAGTGCCCAAAGAGAGACTAGGAGGTGTGGAACCCTCCACCAGTTGTAGAAATGTTGTGTGCTAGCTGGGTTAGTGTTAAGTGATTATAAATATGATCTTTTAAATTTTAGAGGGCAATTTTCTCAATACCCTGGGGTGCATCTCCAGTCCAAAACCTGGCAGCAGTGGGCATTTCTCATCCAGTCCGCAGTAGGAGGAGGGATACCAGCCAGTACACGTGAGGACTTACTTAGCTGGACCATCTCCAACCAACACCAAACCCACTAGGAATGTACATCCAGAGGACATGGTGGAGTGCTTCAGCCAAAATCTGGAAGCACCTGGAATTGTACATCAGGTCTACAGTAGGAAGTGCTTCATGCCATCGACACACGATTCTAATTGTGACCAGGCCATTTCCAACCAACACCAGACTCACCAGGAATGTTCATCTGGAGGATGGAAGGAAGGAGGAATGCTACAGTAAGAAAAAGCAATCAGTCAGATATATAAACAGTAATATGGTGTAGTGCTACAACCAAAACCTGGCAATATCAGGAATTGTACAACATGTCTATGGTAGGAAGTGCGATACACCATCGACACCTGCAGAATGCCACCAACCTACTCTCAACCGATTGGTATGTTTCAATACTCAGGAGGACAGACCTCCATGGTCTACCACCCCAGTAGCTAGGAACTGGTACATGGCAAGGACTCCCATGCTCCACTAGAAGAAAGGAGGGTAAAACATGTTGGAGAGTCTGGAGGACCACAACACCAGAGACAGTGTAACAAGTGACTGCGATACCATATTTTGAAAAGCAGAACTACCACACTGATGGAGTCGATCAACCAAAACCTGATGGCATCTGGAATTATACATCAGGTTCATGGTAGGAAGAGTCTTAATGCACCAGAGCATCAGAAATGGGCAGCAACCTGTGTCTGCTTTACTGATGTTAGTCCATGAGTGTAAGGTCTAGGAAGAGTCTTAATGCACCAGAGCATCAGAAATTGGCAGCAACCTGTGTCTGCTTTACTGCTGTTAGTCCATGAGTGTAAGGTCTAGGAAGAGTCTTAATGCACCAGAGCATCAGAAATTGGCAGCAACCTGTGTCTGCTTTACTGATGTTAGTCCATGAGTGTAAGGTCTAGGAAGAGTCTTAATGCACCAGAGTATCAGAAATGGGCAGCAACCTGTCTGCTTTACTGATGT